TCCATAGAATCTAAAAAATGTCATCAATATAAACGTCTCAAAAGTGTTACTGATTAATTTATCTACTAATCTTAAGGCATTTATAACATTTTGTGAAAATTTTAACAAGATATCTATGTTTACTACGCTCTCAATACAAACAACTGAATATTGATAAGATGTACATTTTACTTTTTATAACTGACATTTACATTTTTCTAGTGCTAACATAAAATCACCAAGCATTTTATTAACAAAATGGTGGGGCGGGGGCATTATCTTTTGCAGACTTTAACCAATTTCTAAAATCTAAAAAAAAAATTTCAATGCAAATCATGATCAGATGGCACAGATGTGCTAGTAAATCTTGGTCTGCACTGGCTGCATGTAGTTGTTACTGGCAGACTAAGAGTTAATGGTTTCTTTCATCATTCCTCCAGTATTCTTTTCAATACCTCTATTTTTCTTTAATCATTTTTTTTCATTACAATCAGCAAATTAAGAAAAAGAAATTTTTAAAATTAAATTAAGAACAGAAGAACTTATAAAAAAAAATTAAAAGCAATATTTTTTAGGGAGTGGGGTTGGGGGGTGGGGTAAGCGTTTATAAAGCTCAAACAAACTATGGTATATATACAATGTTATAATCATATCTATTGCACAATGTTTCTAACTTTACATGCAGGACAAACTATATACAAAATTTACATTATGTTTCACTTATGTGCTATTTATACTCATAGGAAATAAAATTATTTCAGTCTTTGGTATACTTTATATTATGCGTACACCATTTCTTAGAAATTATTCTTACAAAAGACATCAGGTATTCTCGTACTCTCATTCTTCTTTCTTACTTATTATTAGTGCCAAACATACACCCAATCCTTGTGTCTAGTTGAAATAAAACATAAAACATTTTTTATCCACTATACAAAATTAAAAAGCCATCTAATAAAAACAAAAAAAGCAAATAACATAGAAAAAGGAAGAGTAAATAACATAAAAAGTCCCCGGTTTACAGCTTATCATATCTTTAACAACAGGTGCAAAAATAAGACAATAAAAAAAGATATATAATCATACATTTCAAGCTATCTATTAAGAAGGCCTGATAAGGAAACTTAAGATATCTTTAGTAGAACATGTGTTGGATGACTTTCAGTGATAATGTACCATATACATTGTATTTTCTGATTTTAAAAAAGGTGACATCTTTAATGACATTACTTTTTTAACTTAGGGTGTTTCTTTTTTTTTTTAATTTCACCAGGAAAAAGTAAGGTTTGAAAACAAATTAAGTACCATTTTAAACAAATATTAGAGTCCCATATTAAAACAAATGCATAATTAATTATTAACAACTTTCCCTTTTCCAGATTTTTCTTCTGCTCTAATGTAATTTACTTGCTTCTCCCCTTATGATTTGGATAATAACTTTTGATTTCAATATAATAATATAACATTTGTTGTGTGGTTTGAAATCAGAACTACAGTTATATAATACCAAAGGTTATATATAGGCCTGTGCGATTAACAATAAACAACTCTGAAAAGATAATCCTGCGCAACATTATGTGATACTAAACTACCATAATGTTACCATATAATCACATCCTAATGAGCTCATTGGAAAAGAAACGATAGAAACTTGTTTAACCAATAATATTCTAACAGTATAGAAGTAATTTATATGTCTTTATTTTGCTAATTGACGTCAGTCATATATATGGTTCATATTCCCTTTTTTCAACACTTGGCATTATCTTTAACACCCACTCAGAAGTTCATTCATTTGTTTCATAATAAAATAATGGTAATCAAGTCGACTACAAGAACAAAGTTCAACATACAGAAATTACCTTATGTAACAATTATAACATTAATTTATAATATCAGGTCTTTGATGTTTATTTTGTGAAAGAATTTTGCAGATATCAGGCTCTTTTTTTGTAAACCAGAGTCTATTGTACATTCTTGATCATTGTTCCTGACATTTAACGGAATGGCATAATTAATAGTCTAGATTTTAACTAAGTTCGGCACTTGAACTTTCACTTTCATATTATTTACCAACATGAAATGTCAAGGCTGAAAGTGAATTATTTATGCAAATAAAATATACAGAAACCGACTTTTCATTAAAAGGTAAATGGAACATACAATATCAAAATAAACACCCCTGTTGTGATAATATTACGAATGTGTTCAGAATCAGGTGTAATGTTTTACATTATAAAATTATATCCATTTAAGTTAACACTACTTATATTTAAGGTAAATTTACATTATATTTTTAAGTTAAAACCCTTATTTTTTAATGAAGAATAGGATGGTTCATTTTTATAGAAATAAAATAACTCTATGTGTATACAATTCTTAAATTGAAACTATTTTAAAATAACTTTATTAAATATATGTTCATGAAAGAGTTAGTCCCTTCATAAGATATTTTAATATAAGAAAAAAATAACTTCATGTATCTCACAACATCATATACATTCAGCCATTTAACACACAATTTGGACCCATAATTAGAAGTACAATAATTATAAAGGATGAGAGGTTATGAATAACAAAATCTTTTTTATTTAAGCCTCACTCTGTCCATCAGTCTGGACAAAACCATTTAATATGATTTCTAGGGAAATTTTCAAAATATGCACTGACTGAAACAGAACATAATACAGCATGTATTTGGAGGCTGATCATTGGCTGCAGGGGTAACATGGGTCAAATTTGTTGCCACTAGCAGGTTTGAGGGTAAGCTATTAACTGTTTCCGCTAGATAGACATTGCTGAACCGTTAAGTAAAAATTTAATTATAAAAAAAAATTTTACTTTTAAATTATACTGTTTCAGTTGAAAATGTGTATGTAGCCTTTGGCTATCTTTAAAGCTTTCTACGAGGTTTCACCAACCAATATTTTAATTCAAAATACTTTTTTTTCATATCATGCAGTTTCTTTATACATATAAAGTACCTGTCACTAAATAAATGGTTGTTAAATTAATTTAAAACTTCATCAGAAATACCATATTCATAGTTAACTTTCAATATCAACTTGAAAGATATGTGAATATAACATTTTTTATGAAGATCCTGTATAAAAATTTCTACTGTAAGTTTATTGTAATCTGGATTGAGTCAGTGTTAAATATACACCAGAAACTACATTTATGAGAAAAAAGCAGCATATCAAGTGTAAACAAAATTCTCATATTAAAGTGCAGAATTATAAATTACAAGGTGTAAACAACACTTAATGGATAAAATGAAGTAATCTGTCTTCTAAATACTGCGCAGTCAAAAACATACAAACTAAATCATGGGAAAAAAACATAAACATACCTTTGAGATGACACTCACTATCATTAAGATCTCAAATTACGTATGTATCAGTAACAAAGATACATTTTCATCTAATGGGGTTCATAAACTGTTTGAAAAGGTATAAAGTTTAGCTCTGTTTGAGAATCCTTTCTTTAGGATGTTAACAATAGGATGTTAATATTTTTTTCATTGCAAAAATAATTATTGATTAAAAATTTCAAGTTCAATTTAAAAATATGGTAATGTAAACTAAGTTAACTATGAAATTAATCATGGAAATGAGAGTATCTCAATTATTCCTTAAATTTAAGATTTAAAATGTGTTAAAATCAGCAACATCCTTCAGACATAAGTACTGGTAAAAAAAATTTTTTTATAATTTCCTCAAAAATGATTTCAAAATATCATGACATAAAGCATTTTCTATGACTTAATTAAAAGCATTATCATTTTCACAGCAAAGTCACAGCATTTACAAAGCAAAATTATTTTATGTCTCCGTGTTCTAAAAATAAAACATTTTTTTCCAAAACCTACTTCACATATTATTAGCATATATATATAAATCACTTGGCATGACCTACTTTTAATGGGTATTTAATTCTTAACAAAATCTCATAGTAATTCTGCTCTCCAGCAAATGAAAACAAACATAACATATGTAACAAAAAGAAATGGACCCAAAGTTATATATCTAGAAATAATATCTCTGCATTAAAACCAAAAACATAGGTCTGCACATCATTGCTTTTTAACTTAAAGAGCTTGAATTTGAAAACAATCTGTTACACAAGAATCTGATTTGCTGATTCAAATTTCAAACTTTGAATGAACCAATCAGAGACTGGCTGACTGCAGTGACTGGTCTTCAAATTTTAGTTATATAACTTTGGAACCATATTTAACAACCAACAAGCATCACATTGTAATTTCAGAGGTAGCTGTATTTGGAGCATACATTAGGAACAATCAGTTCATATTATGTTTACACGGTATGAGAACTGTTGCAAGTCAGTTTAACCTTAGGATTAACAAATTATAAACAAAAGTATATCATTAGGTCAGTTCATTTACCTTCAGAATCAACAATTACCTCAAAGAATCTATAGTCATCATTATAGGTACAACTGCAGAACACTTACAGATATTGCATCTGTAAACATTAGCTCAGTTAAACTGCCACATAAGGTATTGCTTGTAACCATGAGGACAATTGCTACCAGATATTGTTTCAATATAAGCTTCAGGATTGCAGAAGCCTTAAGAGAGAACCTCTTGGCTGTCTGTATTTAAAACTGGATGGTATTTTGGTCAAGCCATTGGCCTTCAGGATTCCAACTTGCCTACACTCACAGAGTATTGCATTGGTCAAGCCATTGGCCTACAGGATTCCAACTTGCCTACACTCACAGAGTATTGCATAGGTCAAGCCATTAGCCTTCAGGATTCCAACTTGCCTACACTCACAGAGTATTGCATAGGTCAAGCCATTGGCCTACAGAATTACAACTTGCCTAAACTCACAGAGTATTGCATCGGTCAAGCCATTGGCCTACAGGATAACAACTTGCCTACACTCACATGAGTATTGCATTGGTCAAGACTGGCCTAAAGGATTACATTTTGCCTACACTCACTATAGAGTCTGACAAAATTTAAAGGCTTCAATTTTAAGTGATCATGAACAACCCAATGATAGCCAATGGTACAAAATCCCTTAAAATGACTCTTTGACCCTTCAAATTTCCAAAAGGCCTGATTTGACCCTCAGGATTTTAACTGGAGGGTCAAAGTTTGTTAAAATCATGGGGATTTGGCCTTGTAGTCGATAAAACTTAGTCAAATGACTCTCAGGCTAGTGAACACCCTGAAACCATTAAATTAAGAATCCATCCCTTTCTCAAAACCCTATGAAATTATCTTTTTTTCTTTTTTACTGTGAATAAAAGTATACAATATATCTACAAAAATTAAAGCTTGTGTAATATATTGAAAAAAGAAAGCAAACAAGAATGATTTGCCCAGTACCATTGCCAACATGTACACTAATGGTTTGAAATGTGGGGACACTGTTTATTAAATGGTTTACAAAAATGACTGATCTGTGATGATAAAACAATCTTCAATTTTGAAAAAAAAAAAAAAACAACATTCTGCATGTCATAAATAGGATTTTAAAATAATGAAACATGTGAAAAGGAAACATTTGATAAAAAAATAACATTCTCAGTCCCTAACATGATTATGTACCAAAATGAAAATTTACTATAAATTCAGCAAACCATATTTATGCAAAGCCCGAAAATACAAAACTTTTTTCATCCAGAGCCTTAAGACAAAAAGTTTACAGCTAAAAAATAGATTTACTTGAACTTTTTCATCACTTCACAGTGTAATATTATGGTCACAATAAAGCATGTTTTAGGAAAATTGTTTAAAACTTGAAAGTATTGAAAGATACACATTTGGTCAAGGCTTCAAAATTTTTACATAACATTTTACAATTTTTCTATCAGTATAAAAATTTATTCATAACATGATATTATAAGCTATTTCTTTTTATATTTAGCCTCTTTTTGCAGTTGTTTCAACATCCTGTGTTGTTAAGTTTTGTTTTCCTCTACTGTCAGCTTCTGTCTGGATATTTTTTTTTTCATCATCCTACATCCTGGGGAATATTCATCTCATTACAAAATTCACTTGAACAGGTGTTTTCTCTCAATCATTGCTTCTAGTTGTTGAATTATATTATTCTCTATGTAAAATAAGACTGAAAATAAGAAAAGCAAAAGTACATGTATTACTTTTCACCGATTATAGAATGAAATTTGTATACTAGTATACATTATATGATGTATTTATAATTATAATAACATTTTTTTCCATATTTTTGAATTCATTGTAAAAAGAAACATCAGAACTTGGATATTGATTTTATTTGTATTTTTAAGTCATTCAGTGAATCAGTCATTTTCACATTCATAATGTAAATTTCAGGCTTTATTGATAAACGGATACACCTCATGCTCCCCTATGCATTATTTTAGGCATTGTATGGGGAAAGCAGGACAACACACATGGTGAGAACCAGGCCAAAGTGGGACAAATAACATGACTATAGAACCACCAAAGTGGAGCAACACATGGTTGAAACCACCAAAGTGGGGCAAAATGCAGGACTAAAACCATCAAAGAGAGGAAATGAACATGACTATAATCATGGAAGAAGGAGTCAACACACATAGCTAGAACCATTTATGTGGGGCAACGCATGTTGTTAGAACCACTAAAGTGGGGCATTACACACATGACTTAGAATTAATAAAGGAGGGGGCAATTAACACACATGGCTAGAACCTTCAAAGTGGGGGCAACACACATGGTTAGAACCAACAAAGCGGGGCAGCTCACATGTCTAGAACCATCAAAGTGCGGCAACAAATATAGCTAGAACCACTAAAGTTGGGCAACACACATGACTTGAACCCCCAACTTTAAGGACAACACATGACTTGAACCCCCAACTTTAAGGACAACACACATGACATGAACCACCAACTTTAAGCAAACAGGCTTTGAGTTACAGAACTTATCAGTGAGATTTATCTCAGATGTAAAAACTTTCATTTGTCAGAGCACCCTCTGTGCAGTTACTGATCAATCACTGATCAATCAAACACAAGACCTAAGATTGTGCTTGAAAAATGTCTTCATAACATTGGACCTAGAAGTATATAGGCTTATAGCGCAACACAAAGTACATTACCTTTAGGTTGCATGTGTTATGATTTTTGCGTAAGAAGGGCTCCAAGTGCCAGAATCCCGGCAGCACCAAGACAAATCCTTCCAAATGATGGCCAAATTGACTGGTCATTTTTATCTGGGGCTTTCTCGTAAAATTCTGCTAAACCATTCTGTAAAAACATAAACATATACCAAATTAATTCCTTATATCAAATCAATCATGATTGCTATTTGAAAACAATTCAGTGATTTAGAGAATCTGCTATATTCCCCAAATTGCAATGGAGTTTTAAAGACCTCTTTTTAGAACATTTTTATCACATACATGTGAGGAACTACATTGTATGACTTCATTATTTGTAAAAATATCATTATGGTGTACATGTATTGTATACAGTCATGTTCACCTACACACTCATTACTTTCTGGGTGTTTTTTTTTATATTTATATATTCCTAAAATGTTGACATAGAATCATATTGTTTTGGCTTATGTCTATAGGTAAAAAAAATTGAAAGGAGAAGTTAATTAGCCTTCAATTAAGACATTAAAATTATAGCTGATATCCTAATTTGAATTCAACTGTGCACAATATAGAACAATATAATGACTACAGAATTATCGTAAAAAGGGCATTACCTAATAAATGTTACCTTAAATAAGGAAAAATGCGCTGTTCATTTTATTGTAAATATTTATAATTATAACTTATATTTGAATACTTTTCTAAATATTCGACCAAAGAACATTCAAATATCCTTTAAGTTTATGTTTTACGTCAACTTTATTTATAGTACAGCAAAAAATTCTCACAATCTTACTTAAGATTTTTACTACATCAAATGTCAAGTATTTTATCTATCTAGAAATCAATTAAAAATAAAGAATGTTGGCATACATCAATAAAAAAGTATTTAAATGTCTATTATAACTGTTATGTAAATAAAGATATGGTACACAATGAGCCTTAGACTACATGTTACTTAATTGCTCTAGTTAATCTAAAATCCTAACTTCCTATATGATTAACCACATTTTTGTTGCAGACATGATAAAAACCAAGACTACGTCAATCAAGTGCCATTGAAATACTTCGTTCCATTTTAAATTCTTAAAAGCATTTTATTTTTGATGTCCTCTTACAGTTCCAAAAAATTACTCATTGGCCAATTACCTGAACCATTTTTTGCTTCTTTTTCTTTTTGGCAATCAGTTGACTTATTATTGTGACTTTGTTTTTTGTATGGAAATCAAAATATTACTTTGTTTACATTTTTTTTTACACTTCTTTATCATTTTCTCTTTACAGATGTTTTTCAAAAGCCAAAAACTTACGATTAAATTCTGTTAACATGAAAAACTTTCTAAAAGTTTATTATAAATTATTTTATCGTTTTATTGCATATGAAGTCAAGAATTAAATGCTACTCAAAAGAAAGAAAAACTTTGGTAAAGAATTTGAATAATTATCATGCAAAAAATTGATATTAGAATTTAGTTTTTTATAAATTCTAAGTCAATTTTTCCAATAAGAAATGAATGCATATAATTTAATGATTACCTTAAATATGTACAAATATTTGCAATACATATTTTACATATTCTTCCATGTTTGAAAATTGACAAATTTGCATAATTACATACATATATAATTCAATGAAGAGTGGTATGCAATCCAAATTACAAAACATACAGGATCTTTAATAATAGTTATTTGTTGTGTTGGTTTAAACATATTTATTTAAGCTTGATTGCGAAACAAGTTTTAGCAACTTATATTAATCACTTTCAAGTTCGCTTCCTGGAAGCAACCAGTACTGGTGTCATATGACGATACATGGTCTTGACCAGATAAGGGCTAGAACCCATGATCCCTGGGTTGAGAGGCAGACACCTTAACCACTAGGCCACCGCTCCCCTTTGTTGTGTTAATCTTGCCTTAAGTACAAGAACTCATGCCTACTCAATTAAGAAAGACAAAACTTTTGGACAATAAATTTGTATAACAAAAGTGCACAAAATTGATAATACTGATTATATCTACATAGCATTTAAAGACTAATTTAGGCTCAGCAACAACTGAAAAATTATCTTTCAACCTAAAGAATTCTTATGCTGGAGACATATTCTTAGGGCATGAGCACTGCCATTAAGTCCCAGAAAGAAGATTTTGATAAAAAATTATTACAATTTGCAAACTAAGCTTTTAAATAAATAGTTTTTAAATAAATACGAAAAGTACGTTTTTACTATCTTCTTCAAGCTGTTTTTATGATTTTGTAGTTTGTACTGTAAATACCAGCACTATTACCTAAACCCTGCCCATCACATATAGGAGGATGTGTTGTGACAATCAGGAAATAGGGACTGCGTCATATCACTTAACTTATTTACATACATACAGTTTTACAACCAGTTAAAACTTGATGAATATTCTTCATCCTGATTCTCTGTTTACCTAAACCACTTAAAATTTACATCAAAACTCAAAAACACATGTAATAAGTTTAATTGTACTTTGTGGAAAGTCATTTATACTGAATGGAAAACAGCATGAACTATTTGCTAGTATGATACATAATATTTATGATGTATTGATTTTTTTTCCATCTAACAAAATTATGATGTCTTAAAGTTAATGTTATGAAGAAAAGTCATTTTGTTCTATATAAATAATAACATAATGAGAATAGATAAAAACAAGTAGAATCTTTGATAATCACCTTGCAGCAGTAAGATAATTTAGATTGAACTGTAAATGCAAGATTTAAATAGACTGCCAACCATTAACAATGTAGACAGGATTGGCTATAATACTGGTTGCATTATCTGAGGCCTTTTGTTATCAACAATTACACTTAGGTTTGAAACTTAATGGGACTCTTACTGATATTTTTTAACATGAACAGATTGGATTTTTTTTAAAACTAAAATTTGCACAATTTGAATTGTGGATAAAAAGCGTTCAAACACCTTTTTACTAAAATCAGGCTAACAATCATACAAAAAATTTCCAATTCAATTCTAAGTATATTTTTTTATCATATATTTCATATATTTTTGAGTTGAACATGACTAAGTTGATCTACATTTGAAGAATTTCCATTTCATGTTTTTTTTAGGCTGAAACTCAGTGCATGGACTCAGCTCCTTTAATAGAAATCCTAAATTATTACTTTTTAGCAAAAATATCATCCACAACTAGAGGATGCTTTTGTAAAAAAGCGCATGTCTCCCCCACTGCACTGTGACCTTGACCTTTGACCTACTGACCCCAAAAACAATAGGGATCATCTGCTCTATAAGACCAATCATCCTATGAAGTTTGAGGGCTGTAGGTCAAAAGGAACTCTAGTTATCATCCGGAAACGAGAAATTGACCAACGTCACTGTGACCTTGACCTTTGACCTACTGACCCCAAAACAATAGGGATCATCTGCTCTATAAGACCAATCATCCTATGAAGTTTGAGGGCTGTACGTCAAAAGGAACTCTAGTTATCATCCGGAAACGAGAAATTGACCAACGGTCACTGTGACCTTGACCTTTGAACTACTGACCCCAAAAACAATAGGGATCATCTGCTCAATAAGACCAATCATCCTATGAAGTTTGAGGTCTGTAGGTCTAAAGGAACTCTAGTTATCATCCGGAAACGAGAAATTGACCAACGGTCAGTGTGTGACCTTGACCTTTGACCTACTGACCCCAAAAACAATAGGGATCATCAGCTCTATAAGACCAATCATCCTATGAAGTTTTGAGGGCTGTAGGTCAAAAGGAACTCTAGTTATCATCCGGAAACGAGAAATTGACCAACGGTCACTGTGACCTTGACCTTTGACCTACTGACCCAAAAACAATAGGGATCATCTGCTCTATAAGACCAATCATCCTATGAAGTTTGAGGGCTGTAGGTCAAAAGGAACTCTAGTTATCATCCGGAAACGAGAAATTGACCAACGGTCACTGTGACCTTGACCTTTGAAACTACTGACCCCAAAAACAATAGGGATCATCTGCTCAATAAGACCAATCATCCTATGAAGTTTGAGGTCTGTAGGTCTAAAGGAACTCTAGTTATCATCCGGAAACGAGAAATTGACCAACGGTCAGTGTGACCTTGACCTTTGACCTACTGACCCCAAAAACAATAGGGATCATCAGCTCTATAAGACCAATCATCCTATGAAGTTTGAGGTCTGTAGGTCTAAAGGAACTCTAGTTATCATCCGGAAACGAGAAATTGACCAACGGTCAGTGTGACCTTGACCTTTGACCTACTGACCCCAAAAACAATAGGGATCATCAGCTCTATAAGACCAATCATCCTATGAAGTTTGAGGGCTGTAGGTCAAAAGGAACTCTAGTTATCATCCGGAAACGAGAAATTGACCAACGGTCAGTGTGACCTTGACCTTTGACCTACTGACCCCAAAAACAATAGGGATCATCAGCTCTATAAGACCAATCATCCTATGAAGTTTGAGGGCTGTAGGTCAAAAGGAACTCTAGTTATCGTCCGGAAACGAAGAATGGACGGACGGACTGACGGACGGACGGACTGACGGACGGACGGACTGACGGACGGACGGACGGACGGACAGGGCAAAAACAATATGTCTCCCCCCGAGGTGGGGGAGACATAATAATTGCGCATCAATAATTGATCTAACAAGTATTGAATCCTGATGCTAAAAAGATGTAACACAACTAACATTATAGTATAATTGTTACAATAGTGCTCAGGGTTGAAGTTTTGATTAATGTTCTATTCAATATATCATATGATGACATTTACTAATACAATCATGTGAAAATGTTGTTAAGTGGCTTGTAACGAATCATTAACTTTAAAGCAAATATATATATATTACATACGTAATACATTGTACATGTATACACACACATACATGTAATGTACATACAATGTCAAACTTTTTTTTTATAATTTGTAACTTTATTTTAAAAATTTCAACTTTTTTATATTCATCAATTTACCTAAGCCTATTTTAATACAATTATTGTGTATTCAAATTCTGAATCATTAGCTTATATTATTCTTAATACTGTTTTAATAAGTATAATAATTGAACATGAACGATCTGTTAATCATTTTTAAAAAAACCCTTACCAGTAGCATTTTTCAAATTTTCATGCTTTTTAATT